CGCTCAGCCAGAAAGTCTTGTGTGTGGGGTGGGGCTGTCTGAGACCCGCAGTCTGGAGTGGGCCTCGCTTCTTTCCACCCTCCCCAAGTCCGCAGCTACTCCTGGGCCTCTGCCAGCAGGCCAGACCACAAGCCACCAGGCCTCCCGGACTGTGATGTTGGCAGGGAGGTTCCCTGCACAGGAACGCCACCTGGGTTGGGCGCACGCCTCCTCCTGGGAGGAGGGTTGCCCTCTAGGACGCCGATCCGCCCCTGGAGGCACACACACCTCAGTAGGCTGTTCACGTATAACCCTTCTGTGCCCAGGGCAATGCTAGCCCTCTGTGCAGGGGATCTGGTCTGCAGGTCCGACCTCTGGGTCCCAGAGTTCAAACTGTATCCCCACCAGGGAGAGGATTTCTGGTCCAATTCACCCACAGGGAGCCCAAGCTGGTCTATGTCTCTCAGCCTCTGAGTCGGCACCGTTCTCCTGGGAACACAGTGCCAGCAGCACCTGGGAGGGCGGGCGGGTAGGAAGCTCACAGTCTGAGTTCCCCTGAGTCAGGTGTAGGGTCCCAAACGGGAAGATCCCATTCCCTGGACGTGCCTCCGGCTGGTGGCTGTATTGTCTCTCTCGGCAGCCGCTGGTAGGGTCGGCGAGGGGAGGAGGAGGCAATATGGCGCCTGCCACGTAGCTCGGGTCTGTGCACACGGAGGTGACTGGAGGAAGTTGGGAACCTGGTGCCACGTCTGCTACAGGCTTACCGCTGGCTGCCGGCGGCGGTCTCTGGGCTGGTGTCCGCAGGTCTCTCCACCCGCTGGGGAGCCCACCAGCAGTCCTAAATGCGGGGAGGGAAACAGCAAATTCACCTACCCTTGCTGCTGGTCTCTGGGCTGCTCCAGTGGTCTCTGCCTCCAGTTCTCCTCTGCAGCCTCCTCCCGTGGAGTCTCCCGGGGTGTCAGGTACCCCTCCTTCTGGCCTTGTCCACTGTATGCTCGTCTTCTTGCTTCTTTCCTCTAATTTCTGCTAGAATCTGTCTTTTCTGCAGAGACACTCTGTCTGGCGGTGTTATTCATCCACCATCTTGCTCCACTCCCCTCCTCAAATATATTGATCCGAACAAACTTAAGCCTGCATCTGAGTCACTACGAGGGCTAATTAAGACATAGATTTCCCCACACTCAAGTTTCTGATATAGTAGGTCTGAAGTGGGGCTCCCAGATTAGCACTTTTACCAAGCTCCCATGTGATACTGATGTTCCTGGTCAGCAAAACCACACTTTGAGAACCATTTTACTAGATAATTCTTAGAACCAGGTGAGTTTGGAGGAAATAATTGCAACACATTTCTCTGAAGCTATCATTGGAATGATGTACTTTTTCCTCTAACCTTGTAATTGCCATGATTAATACATCACTCAGTGATTTTCTGCAGCTAGAAATCAGATTCAAACATATCTCTGTGACCTCCATATAAAAGGAAATAAAGAAGAGACGGCCAATGTACTGCTTTTTCTTTACCGAGGTAAAAACACTAGTTTAAATGATGTAGATGCAGCTAACAATGCCTAGATTGTACACCACGAAGAGTTAATACTGCAACAAGTCATGATAAAGACTATCAAGAGAACACAGAAGGCTTCCAAAGTCTATATTCCTAGGTCAGACTAGGATCTCTGCTATGTCACCACGTAGCACTTATTGGAATGAGCAAGAGCTAATTTTTTAAAAGCTGATTTAGGCATGCCTATTATTTAGAGATCCAAATTGGGCCAGCAGGGCTTTAGGAATGGTGCTTCACAGCTCAATCTGGCCACTATAAACTCAAGCCGGTTGTATCACTACTTTCCAAGAGGAATTTAAGGGGTGTGACTGCATCCTTTCCAACCCTGCATTCCACATGTGACAAAACTGATCCAGCTGTTTGTCTGAAAGAAATTCCTTGCTGTCCTTAAAAATTAAAAGGCAAGTGGATATCCGTCCTCCAGGGGCAAGTCTCCAGCTGGAACCTGGTACAGGCAGTTGCGAAACAGAGACAGTGCCCTGGAGAGCATCTGCTTTTGAATTCTTACCTCGCCAGAGGGGGGTTAGCCCCATCTTGCTTTTTGAAATGGTAGATTCTGGATGGAGGGTGCTGACTTGGCCCAAAGCTCTTGAGAAGTGTTCATCCACTACTGACCCAATGTCTCCCTGGAAATAAGTGAAAAGGACACAGCGAGAGTTAAGGTACTCCATCTCGGCAGGCTGGTCTTTCTCCTCCTCCTCCTCCTCATCCTCCTCCTCCTCCTCCTCCTCTTGTTTGCTGGGAAGGGTGACTTCCAGAGAGTCCTGCATCTTGCTGTATACGGCTAACTTCTTCTGGGATGAAATAAACAAAACACAGTATCAAAGACAGTTTGTAAGAAAGCATTAACTAGTTAAGTTTTCACTTTAAGAAAAAAGAATCTAAATATTAACATATGTTTGCAAACTGAGTCGTCTTCATCTGTTTTACTCCCATCTTTTTCCTCCCAAAACCAGTTGCCTCCTTCCCACACACACACATAAAAAAGTCTGTGATTCCAAATTTGGCAACCAAACAGAAAAGTTCATTATGAAATGGTATATTTCAAAGCAAGATTATTTTTAAATCAAGCTATACCAAAAGGAGAATGACTTTAAAAAATAGTGACAGATTGATTCCTTCTAGTTTCTCTTCTAATTTTTTGATTTATTTTTAAAGATTTAATGTACAGCAACATTATAGTTTAGAACAAGGAGGAACAGGGTAGGTGACTTAACTGGTGGTGGGTGGAGAAGACAAGAGGTTTTCATAAATAAACTAAAATAAAAACAGGAACGTAGCATCTTATAAAAGGATTTGGCAGATGTGCTGAACTCATTTCTCAAAAATCAAACTAAAATGACAAAATAAGTCTGTGTGAAGATCCATTTTGCATGGAACATATTTTTCAGATGTTCCATTTACCACCATTATCATAGAGGGAAAAAAACTTTTATTATGGCTTACTGAAAATAATACAAAATTCTTACAATATCTAACCTTTCAAACAAAAAATGATAAAACTTGATAATTTATTTACATTTTTAAAACATATGATCATAACTGTAATAATAATTAATATATATAATGTCAGGAACTCTTCTACAACTTTACATTTATTATCTCGCTTAATTTTTACAATTTAATAGAATGGTTATTATTACTATCAGTGTGTTAAAGACAAAAAAACTAAGGCACAGAAAAGTTAAGCAACTTGCCAAATGTCACAGAGCACAGCAGAATGTGAGCCAGAATGCATAATAAAAACATGCAGGTGTAGATATGCATGTGTATGTATATATTGGGGGAAGGCAGGGAAAGGTATGTAGGATGGAAAAGAAATCTTCAAAATGTCATACTGTTTTCTGAGTAGTAATTTTGAAGTTAATTGTTACTTTCTTATTCCTAGCTTTGAATATTTCCAAATATTTGTCACTAAACACATATTACTTTTATTATCAACAACCTCAATGTGAATTACATATAAGAAGATGATGCTAAAGATAATGAAACACATTATTCTAGTGACCAAATGAACTTTCTGTATCATCTGTATATCTGTAAAACCTGATCCTTAGTCATACCATTTTTCTTATTTCTGAAAAAAAATGCATGCTGGAAAATGAATGTCAGTAGAAAAAGAGAAATCATTCCAGAATACTCAGTAGTTTTGCAAATGTTGGCAAAATACATAGCCCAGACTCTATGTTTCTAATGTAATTACTAGGTTCAAAATCTATAGCCTCAAATTAAAAATGTACTATTCAATAAATTGAACCCTTTCTTTAGCAATGAATATGTTGTTCTTGTACAAAGTGGTTCCTGAAATGTTCAGGAATATTATTATCACTTTAGGAATGTTATTTATTAATACATGTGTTGCTTTTCATTTAAAATTTTGGTCAATGTGGTTGCCACTTGCTGATGAATAGATATAATTCCCTGTGAGTGACTATGACTTCCTGATGTGCTGATGTGAATAGATGATTGTAATGACTAGGTGGTTTTATTTTTTATAATTTACTTTTGCACAGATTTGAACATGTTTATATTTAACTTCAATAGTAAAAACACCATTGTATCATAGATTATATATAAAATGGGGGAATTGAGCTACATAGCCCCTAAGGTTAATCCTAGTTTTGAATTCTATTATAAAATTAAACAAATATTATGATTTGTTCGTCAAGTCACAGTGCTGTTTCTCTGTGTATATGCATATTTACCCAAAGAATATACTGTTTTAATCATATGCATCCATTTTCTGCCAAATATTCTGGCACATTAGAAAGAAGCACTGTGTTTATATGGAAAGGAAATTAAAACTGATCTATAGAGTAGCATCACTGTCCATAAGTGTTCATTATTATCTAGGAAACTGATTGTTTTTCCAATTAATGTCTAGTTCAGCAGCAGTTTGTAAGAGTTGGGTTTTGCATATAATTGTTTCATTTGTTTAATTTTAACATTTATTCTTTAAATAAAAGAGCCCTGCTGTGTTAGTTATTCAAATGAAAACAATGTTTTATTTTATCTCTAATTAAGCTATTAATTCTTAGATGAAATAAAATTAAAGTTATATATGCAAGATATTTAAAGGATGAAAATCCTGATACAAATGTAAATGTAAAGTAGTATTATGATCAATAATAGTAATCATAAAATATCTTAATTTTTAAATAATAGAGTTGAATTTAAGTTATAGAGTTTCAATCAATTTAAGATTACACAATTCTAAATGCTACACAATTTTGTGTTTTTCTCCTACCAATTATTGAATAATTGTATACAAATAAATTAACCTAATAATTAGGTTAATTAAAAAATTAAGTTAAATATTAGGTACTTTTCAATATGCTATGGATGAAAAAGTAGGCAAAATCTGCCATTTTATGAAAATATCTATCAATAATATATTTTAAAAATTCTTGTCAATATCTGCATTAATTCTCTATATTCTTTATATTTCATTTGGATGTAATATATCTATATATGCAATATCTATGTTGACTCCTCTATTTAAATACAATTTGTTTGGAATGATTATAAAATGTATATTTTTTTCTTTCTTTCTTCCAGCACTTTGAGGCAGTTCTTTTATTAATTAAATAAATTTACATGGAGACTATCAAACAAATAAAACAGAAAGGGGAGCTTATGATATGCCTCCTAATAGGCAGGACATAAGAACATCTGCCACTCCCACTTGCACTTTTCTTCTAATAAAGTTAGGTTAATTTTCACAAATTATAGTGAAGTAATTTAAATATTTACATTTACAACACCATGAGCATCACAATCAACATCACTGGTAAAAGTAAGAATTCAAAGTATCCAATAGGCCTGATAATTACCTAAAGTGCCAAATTTGAATTTGCATACTTTTTTAAGTGTAAACCTGCAGAAAATAGAAACATAGAATTTAAACAATAATTGATTCATATACTGACATTCACACCATCCTAATTTTCTTCTTCATAGACTCTTGAGCCTCAACTACTTTCTGATGTCTGTGCTTTGATCACTGTAAATCAGTTCTTTGCTTTTTATAAAACTAAGTATTTTACTCATGTGTGCTTCTGCCATATACTGTATTCACTCGGTGGTTGCTCCTTGGAATGAAAGTTTCCTAGTGTTACATTCTTTCTTAAGAATAATATATTTTAATTCAAAACATTAAGATTAAATATCAAATCATCGGAACCTAGATTTTCTGAATCAAGCTCAAAATGTAATCTCATTCATATTTTTTCTCAAAATGCACAATCTCTTCCTAAAAATATCCAAATCTCTCAGAAATATTCATGTTTTTCTTACAAGACCCTGGAGAAATGTTGACAAAAATAAAGAAGTCATCGAAAAGGACTTCAAAGACTACAAGTTGATTGATTAATGCACATTTATGTCTCATCACCACTGCATAAGACAACTTTTACCCAGGTAAAATGATTCTGGAGTTTGGTGAGACAATGAACGGGTTAATTAGCCACAAAGTTAAAGCTAACTCACAAAGAGGTGAAAGCGTGTGGAGCAGAGTCTGCTCAGGCGGTGCAGACCATACTCAACCACCTCAAAGCCTGCCATTCCGCACAACAGCAACAAACTTTAGCAGGAATGTGCAGGGGAAAGGATTTGTCTGACAAGAGAAAGACTTCCATGTCAGGAGCCAAATACCACTAACTCCCCAAGGCTTAAGCCTACAAAACGCCAAATGATTACTGTGCATATGTGGAAACTTTTTTCCTAAGGAAACAAAACTATTTTAATGAATCATTCAAATCACTGAATCTTTAGAAACAGCTTTTTAAAAATTTCCACTGGCTATCTTCTTTAAATACAATGATTCTTTCATGTTCAAAAACATGATTGGAGCCTCTAAGAAGGAACCACTAGCCCAAGGTAAATGTTTGAAAATCATAGAGTCTATGAAAGCAGCACATTGCTCTTTGACCACATATTTTTAACTTACTTCGATAACAGAATTTTAAAAAAACATCTCAGAGAAACAAAGTTTTGATGTTTAGCCTAATGAAGGAGGATGGATCAGTTTATGAGAAGTTGGGTCAAATTAAGGAAGATATGTCACAGACCTTTTCTATATCTTATTTCATATAACTGTACTCTAACATGCAAATATTTTGTCAGGATAAGTATTCCAATTAACATATGCAAAAACTAATTTACTTGGCCAGCATCACCTAATTAATAAGTGGCAGAGATAGGATTAGAACCTATTTCTATCTGTCTACAAAGCATGTGCCAAGAAAACAGACTATAAAAAATGAGTGTCTGTATGATATCTTAACTGAATAAACAAGCCCATAGTCAGCATGGCAACATACACTAAGATAGCCTAAAGTTATTCATAACATTAAAAAATTAGAAATATAAAGATAAATCAGTGGTATGGATATCAAGTAATGCTATGCTTTCAAAAATATATGTAATTCAAGATTAAACTGAACTTCTATTCCTAAAAATATATATTGTCTCTTTGGCGAATCAGATACATAATACAATTGCTTATAATTTTTCTGGAAAGCATGTTTTGGAAATGTGAGCAGAGCCAAATTGTGAGATATAGTCACACATTAAGATTTTTAAAAAAAAATTTTCTTAATAGTAGATCTCCCTACAAACCAAAAATAATATCACTTAACACAATGAACTACATTGGCCGATTGTGGCCATTATCAAATATCAAACCTACCACTTCCAAGGATGAAAAATTTTTAGCTTTGATGATGTTCAAAAAAATGCGCCACAGGCTTAGAGGCAATTGCGAATTTGCATTCTCAAAATGTTTTAAGCAATG